TCAGGGCACAAGCCAGGGTTGCAGGCTCGATCACCAGTGTGGGGCATGCAGGAGGCAGCACATCAATGACTCTCTCATCATTGATGTTTCTCTCTCTCTCTCTCTCTCTCCCCCCCTTCCTCTCTCTGAAATCAATAAAGACATATTTTTAAAAAAACTGACCTTAAATGACACACTGGACCAAATGGACATAACTGACATTTACAGAGTCTTTCATCCCAGAACATCAGATTATACTTTCTTCTCCAGTGCACATGGAACATTCTCATATATAGATCATATGTTGGGTCACAGAACTAGCACCAATAAATTCAAGAAGATTGAAATAATACCAAGCATATTCTCTGACCACGATGCCTTGAAATTAGAAATCTACTGCAAGAAGAAATCAACTGTAAAGAAACCCACAAAAACATGGAGATTAAACAGCATACTGCTAAAAAATGACTAAGTCAAAGAAAAAATAAAAGATGAGATCAAAAGATACATAGAGGCAAATGAAAATGACAATACAACATATAAAAACTTCTGTGGTGTAGCAAAGGCAGTAATAAGGGGGACATTTATATCATTACAGGCCTGTCTCAAGAAATGAGAAATCCCAAGTAAATACCCTAACATCACACCTTAAAGAACTAGAAAAAGAAGATCAAAAGCAACCCAAAGTCAGCAGAAGAAAGGAAATCATAAAAATTAGAGAATTGAATGAAATAGAAAACAAAAAGACTATACAAAAAAATTAATAAAACAAAGAGCTGGTTCTTTGAAAAGATTAATAAAATTGACAAACCCCTGGCTAGATTCACTAAGGAAAAAAGGGAAAATACCCATATAAACAAAGTCAGAAATGAGGGAGGAGAAGTCACCACAGATATCACATATATACAAAGAATCACACTAGAATGTTATGAAAGACTATATGCTACCAAATTCAATAACCTAGAAGAAATGGTAAGTTCCTAGAAACATATAACCTTCCTAGACTAAATTCATGGAGAACTGGAAAATCTAAATAGACCAATTAGTAGTGAGGAAATTGAAACAACCATCAAAAACCTCCCAAAAGACCTGACTAGTTTGGCTCAGTGGTTAGAGCATTGGCCCATGGACCAAAGGGTCTTGGGTTGGATTACTGGTCAAGGACATGTACCTGGGTTGCAGGTTTGATCCCCAGCTCTGGTCAGGGTGAGTGCAGAAGGCAACTAATCGATGCTTCTCTCTCACATCAATGTTTCACTCTCTCCCTCTCTCTCTCTCTCTCACCTCCTCTCTCCCTTTCACTCTCTCTAGAAATCTAAAAATATCCTTGGGTAAGGATTAACAAAAAACAAAACAAAACAAAACAAAAAAACACTCCCAAAAAACAAAAGTCCAGGATCAGATGGCTTCACCAGTGAATTTTACCAAATGTTCAAAGATTTAAAACCTCTCCTTTTCAAACTCTTCCAAAAAATTAAAGAAGAAGCAATACTTCCTAACACATTTGATGAGACCAATATAACCCTGATACCAAAACCAGGCAAGGATAACACAAAAAATAAAACTACAGACCAATCAATATCTCTGATGAATACAGATACAAAAATCCTAACCAAAATATTAGTAAATGGAATATAACAATACATTAAAAAAACCCCAAAACATTATGATCAAGTGGGATTCATTCCTGGGCACAAAGATGGTTCAAAATATGCAAATCAATGTAATATACCACATCAACAAAAGAAAGGATAAAAATCATAATCTTATCAATAGATGCAGAAAAGGCATTTGATATGATATAACATCAATTTATGATTAAAACACTATCCCTGGCTGGTTTGGCTCAGTGGTTAGAGCATCAGCCCTCAGACCAAAGGGTCTTGGGTTTGATTCTCTGTCAAGGGCACCTACCTAGATTGCAACTTCCATTCCCAACCCTGGTCAGGGTGTGGGTGGAAGGCAACCAACTGATGTGTCTTTCTCATATCATTGTTTTTTTCTCTCCCCCATCCACTCTCTCTAAAAATCAATGGAAAAAATATCCTCAGGTGAGGATTAACAACAGCAACAAAAAACACCCAAAGACACACACACACACACAAAACACTAAATAAAATAAGAACAGAAGAAAAGTACCTCAACATAATAAAGGCCATATATGATAAACCCTCAGCTAATATTATACTCACTGGTGAAAAACTGAAAGCTTTTCCTCTAAAATCAGGAACAAGACAAGGTTGCCCATTCTCACCACTCTTTTTCAACATAATTCTGGAGGTCCTAGCCAGAACAATAAGGCAAGAGAAAGAAATAAAAGGCATCCAAATTTGGAAGGAAGAAGTAAAGCTGTCACTTTTTGCAGACAATATGATTCTGTATATTGAAAATCCTGAAGACTCTACCAAAAAAATATTAGAAATAATAAACAAATACAGTAAAGTTGCAGGACACAAAATCAATGTACAAAAATCCACTGCTTTCCTGTATACTAACAAAAACACTTCAGAAAAAGAAATGAAAAGGCAATTCCTTTTGCAATTGCAACTAAAAGAATAAAATACCTAGGAATAAACTTAACAAAGGATGTGAAGGACCTATATACTAAAAATTACAAAGCTTTATTAAAAGAGATTGAAAAAGACACAACAAAATGGAAAAATATCCTGTGTTCATGGATTAGAAGAATCAACAGTTAAAAGGCCATATTACCCAAAGCAATACACAGATTTAATGCAATTCCCATAAAAATACCAATGTCATTTTTCAAAGAAATAGAATGAGAAATCACCAGTTTTGTATGGAAACACAAAAGACCCCAAATAGCCAAAGCAATCTTGAGAAAAAAGAATGAAGCCAGAGATATCACACTACCTGACTTCAAATTATACTACAGAGCTACACTAACCAAAACAGCATGATACTGGCACAGAAACACACACAGATCAGTGGAACAGAATAGAGAGCCCAAATATAAAACCACATACACATGGGCAGATAATTTTTGACAAAGGAACCAGGAACACACAATGGAGTAAAGATAGTCTGTTCAATAAATGGTGGTGAAAACTGGAAAGCCACATGCAAAAGGATGAAACTAGATTATATTTGGCCCCATGGACAAAAATTAACTCAAAATGGATCAAAGACCTAAATGTGAGACCCGAAACAATAAGTTACATAGAAGAAAACATAGGTACCAAACTTATGGACCTTGGTCGTAGAGAACATTTTATGAACTTGATCCCAAAGGCAAGGGAATTAAAGACAAAAATAAATGAATGGGACTACATCAAACTAAAAAGTTTCTGCACAGCCAAAGAAACTGACAACAAAACAAAGAGGCAACCAACCAGATGGGAGATGATATTTGCAAATAATAGCTCTGACAAAGGTTTAATATCCAGAGTATATAAAGAGCTCATATAACTCAACACCAAACAAACAACCCAATTAAAAAATGGGCAGAGGACCTGAACAGACACCTCTCCGAAGAAGACAAAGAGCCAACAGATATATGAAAAGATGTTCAACCTCGCTAGCAATTAAGGAAATGCCAATAAAAACTACAATGAAACACCACCTCACACCTGTTAGAGTGGCTATTATCAACAAGACAAGTAATAATAAGTGTTAGAGAGGCTGTAGAGAAAAGGGAACCTTCATTCACTGCTGGTAGGTATGTAGACTTGTACAGTCCCTATGGAAAGCAGTCTGGCAATTCCTCAAAAAATTAAGAATAGAGCTACCATTGGCCCAGCAACCCCTCTCCTGGGTATATACCTGAAAAACTCAAAAACATGTATTTGCAAAAATATATGCGCCCCTATGTTGATTGCGACATTATTCATGGTGGCTAAGACATGGAAACAACCAAAGTGTCCTGCGATAGAGGACTGGATAAAGATGTGGTACATGTTTAACCTAGTCTTTTGTGTCTGGTTTCTTTCATTAAGCATTATATTAATAAGAGTGTTCCAGTTTGTTGTGAATAGCAGTAGTTCCTTCATTTTTATTGCTTTATAGTATAGCATGGGGTGGATATATTTATAACATCTATACATGGGATGTATTTATTAATATGTGGAATGTCTTTATTAATTCTATGTTGACATACATTTGGATTTTTCCCCAGTTAGAACTATTGGGAATAATGCTGTGATGAATATTCTCATATTTGAAGATTCCATTTAGAAGTTCAAGAGAGGCAAAAACTCATCTATGGTGTTAGATGCCAAGATAACAGTTACCTCACTGTGGAAAGAAAAAAGCAGTGGGGAAGAAACGCAAATTTGTGCAGGCAGGAGGGGGAAGATGTGGAGGCCTTTTTAAAAACCCGCACAAAACAACTCTGACTCAGGTTGCAGGCCTGATGGAACCACTGAAAGCTCTTGAGCTGGAGAGCAAGGTGAACAGGCCTCTAGCTGCGGAGGATGAAGAAATGGAAAGGACAAGCTGTCCACAGGTCCTGCTCCCATTCCCCTCATTGTCCACCTGGGCCACATGGGGTAGACAAAACCACAGGGCTTGAACCCGGTCTCTAACACTTCCTGGCTTATTGACCCTGACAAGTTCCAGAAATGATGCTCACCCCCACACTTACTGAGAGCAGCAAAGAGAACAGAATGAAGCAGACAGCTGTGCTCAAAGACATGCAATAAAACCCGATCCCTTGGGTCTTCCACTTAGCTGCTAAGGTGACCATGCCATGAAGCAGAGCAGATGGTGTCACTCCCTGCTTAAAACCTCCCACGGCTCCTTAGTGATTACTGGATCAAGCCTAATCACCTTACCCAGGCACTCTGGTCCTTACACTCAGGCAGGCGCCAGCTCTCCTTTACTCTGGCTCCACATCTCAGGATGTTCTCCAAGAGGAAACTGCCTCAGGCCTTGTAGTTCTGAGTTTGTCACATGTCCCTCCACACATGCCTGGACACCATCCTCCACCCCAAACACCCCCTTCCCTGCCTGGCTAACCTCTCACTATTCTTTGACAATCAGCTCAAACACCCCTTTCTCAGAAAAGTTTTGCCTGACCTAGGCCATCACCTCAAGCCTGGGGTGGGCTTCTTGCTCTGTTACTCCCCAAGTTCAGTAACTAACTGCCTGATGCCCCTCTGTGGCAGGAATGAGGGCGGCTCATCTCTACACCAGGTACAGGATCCAGGTCCAGGCTCAGTATTTACATGCTCAGTGCTCAGACAATGCTCACAGAATGAATGAATTGACCAAAACTGCCATAAGTATCCAAGCCAGGTGGTCAGTGGAGTCAGGCCATGGTCACTGGGTGCAGGAATGGAAGTCACAGGGACGACTGCCCCTGCTGGGAGTATCCTCCTGTTACACCGCCATGCCCGGGCTGTTCCTGGAGTGAAGCATGCCAAGTGGGGAGGCCCTCCAGAGAGCAGAAAAAAGCTCAGTATCCAAAGTAACCAGAAAAGCCGCATGGATACCAGGAGCGGGGAAGACTGACCTGAAGGCTGGGCTGCCCAGAGGCCTGCAGGGCATGCTGTAGGGCTTGGCTGAAGAGATCATTGGTGATGGGCGTCCCTGACTGGACACTGGACATTGGCGAGGTCCCTGAGGAATGGCCCTAGAGACAAACCAGTAGTCAAGGCCACCCTCAGAGCCACCTCAGTCTCCCACACATACCCACTGCTGTCACATCACCTCACGGTGCTCCCGGGGTGCTCAACTACTGCCTCCCAACAGGGGCCTGCATGAAATAACCACACAGAGGTACCTAAAAGCTCATTAGGTGGACAGGAAGGGCTCCATTCTTTTCCGCTCTAGAGAAATGGAATCGAGCCCCCGGCCTAGCCTTGGACCCTAGTACTGGAAGCTGCAGTAACTACCACTAGGAGTCTTAAGCCATTTCAGGCTGGGCCTCGTCAGGGATGTCAGGAATGGGGAAGCACACTTTATGTGAGGGGAGGTTCTGCTGAACTCCTAAGAGGAGGAATCAATCAGGACTGTGCTACACCCTGGTCGTTTGAGCCCTAAAGGCAAGTGAGAAGAAGGTCTCACAGTGAGAAATCTGCGGGGGTCCAGGCAGAGTTCAGCTCAAATCAGATCTAGCACCAGGGTCAGCAAGGGCAAATCCATTCTACTGTTGGGGAGCATCTCTCCTGGGGGCCCGGCCTCCATCTTCCCGCCCTCTCTCCATACCTGGGTGCCAGGAGTTGGCGTGTGAGAGCTGCTTTCTGGAGTACTGGCCAGGGCCAGGGCAGTGGCCAGCTCACTCTGGGTGATGGGCCGGGGTCCAGCAGCTCCACTGTACCCCAGGGAGGCTGGGCGGGAGCTGGGTGTGCTGCTAGAGGGTGTGGACCTGGCCCTCTGGAGAAGGGAGGCACCCAGAATTAGCAAAGTGGCCCTGTGACAATCCCAGACAACCCCTCAACCCCCCGCTGCCAGGTTCAGAAAGCAATAGTATGACATAGACTTGGCCACTAAAGGCCTATGACCACCTCACAGCTTGGGCTCCAGGTCCCAGGGAGGAGGGCATCCCTGGCACCACATTCCCCAAAGAACAGGCAGCCAGGACACTTACTGGGTGAAAGTCATCCTCATCATCAGAGAGCCCTTCAAACAGGAAGCCACCTGGAGGAGGGAGAACAGATCTCAGGAGGAAGAACAGAAAGGCACAAGCGCAGCTCCAGAATCTCAGCTCAGATACTCTCCAAATTCATATTTTCATCTTTCTCCTTGGAAAATTACAGGACAGATGCACTCCCTGACTCAAACTGAGAATTCCCGAGGAACACCCTCTGCCAGTGCTATACATAGCTGCTGAGTAAAGCATTTTCCTGGGCCACTGCCGGTTCCCGAGGGGGCCTGCATGACACTTTCCTGAGACTTACCTGGCATGTCCTGGTAAGAGCTGGAGGGCGTGCTCCCGGAAGAGGAGTCTGCCCTTGTGCTGAGGGCAAAATAGGATCCACTTAGCTAGAGCTCCATCTGCACAGCCTGCTCCCCGCAGGGTTCTTATAGCTCAAGTGTGCCACCACTCACACTTACCACACTCACACTCATCCAGATCCACCCTCTCTCCCTCCTCCCCAGGCGCACAGAACCTCTGGCAGGCACTCCCTCTGGTGCCACACACTCTGTGCCCCTCTACCCTGCTGCATTGGATTTCACACTCCACCTTCCTCGTGGATCCATTAAACTTTCCAGACAGTGGAAATGTGGGTCCACTCCTCAGGTGACCTTGGATGTTGTTGGCCACCCAGAGCAGTGCAGTAGCAGCCACAGCAGGAGCCTAGACTCAGGAAATCGGCAAAGAATGTGCCAGCACACCAAGCCAGGGAAGGGTGCCACGGTCTAGCCACAGCAGGAGTCAGGGGTCCCGAAGGCGGGTAAGGCATTGGCGCTGGGAGAGAGTAGACTACACGACTCAGAGGTGGTGTGACACTGTTCCGCTTTATTGATATTCTACACAATTTTTTATACTTTCTTTTTTTGGCTACAATTATATTTTTTCAGTTAGCAAGCAAGAAATATTATTCATAGGTTAAACAATACAAGTTTCAATTTCATTAGAATGAAACAATTTTGACTTTTATTTTTTAGAATAGAGGAGAAAGGAAAAATCAGTGATCTATAAAGTGATAGATGTGGCTTTGTCTGCAGCAGCAATATATTAGCTTGTGAGAGATATTTTATATAATATTTGCCTGTGGTTACTACTTCTTGTGGTTATATTTTAACTATGGACCTATTCATAAGCTATTATATTCGTCTTGCCATTTTCTTCTAAGAAAACAGTGCCTTTTGCCATAGCTATTGATTAACTGCTTAAGAATGCTTTGCTTTTGTTTCTTTGGGAGCAAGCACCAGCGTGGCGACTGCCTTGCCAAGCGTTTCATGAAGGGCAAGTTCTCATACTGAACATGCCTTCCATTTACATTAACTATTCTGATACCGTTTTCATTCTAAGCATCTGTCTAAGGCAGAGGAGGGTCTGGTAGCCTTTCCATACTGTTAGCCCTTTCAGGGGATGCCACAATCTGCCATTTATTCTATATGCTACCCAGGGTGGTCCTTGTACAGTAGGCAAGGGGCGATGGCCTTTTTCCTGTCCTCGACTAATCTTGCATTCTTAGGCGGGGGCACTTGAGGACAGGCGGCTGCGTGAGCTCAGCTTTCTCTAGTTCTTCCATAAATTCCTTACTGGTGGCGCCAGGGGGAGTTTTCCTGGCTACTTCTAATAACAGTTTGTTAAAGCATCCGGCACATGTGGTAGTGACTGGACTTGGGGGAATCGGGATTTCTTCAGAAGTGAGAACGTTGTTTATCATTCCCAGGTTAGTTATTGATTTTACGACCCAAAATCCCCCTCCAAGGAGGAGAAGGGATATTCCCATTAAGCCAATTATTCCCACCCACATGCCACGTCCTCTTCCCAGAAGACGCCTTCCTTGAAGCTTCCTCTCCACGTCCGGACCTTGTCAGACGACATGGTTGGAAGAGGACATGGCAGAAGGGCATTCAGCCTGTGGCAGTGTCATCCTGAAACCAGACACAGTGGGTCCAGGCTGCCTGTCACTACTTCAGCCAATTAAGCAGAGAGAAGGTTGAATCACATATGAGCATTTATTCCAATAATGCCAGCAGTATGAGAGAGCAACAGGGTCATCCACATAAAATCTGCTCTACCCTCCCCACCCCTGCACCATAAGCCAGCTGCTTATATTGGGTAGAAGGGAATTGGGCAAAAGAAATAAGAATGGGCGTAATGGTTACAGGCTACAGGAAATGGGGGCTGGAGTGTGCAAAAGGGTGGGGCACCTCCAGGAGCCCTTTGATCTGGCAACAAGGCTGTTAATTTTTCCATGATGATAGGCAGTTAAGGAGAATAGATCACATTCTGAATGTGCGGAGGCGTACAGCTGTCAGGCAGGTTAGAATGTGCTTTTTCTAATCCGAACAGAACAATCATGGTTAATAGAACATGATTAATATTTCTTTCTTATAATATAACTAACAATCATGGTTAACAGAGCATGATCAATATTTCTGCCCCTAGTAATCCCAGCCCAAGTGACAGCAGCGAGCAGTGGAGATTGATCCAGCACCAGAACACAGGCTGATACCAGCAGGAAGAGTTAGAGTCAGATGCCTGACCCCACCATGCCCCTGCTCTGCCCCTTGTAGCCTTTCTCCCCTCTGGCAACCCAAGAGGGCCCACAGTACCCACTGCCAGGGGAATCTTGGTCATCCCCTCCTGGGCAGTTCCACAGGAGAACCCAGGCAGACCAGGACAGGACAGACTTGTGGTCTACTGTATTCCTGTTACTGGCCAGATATGAGGCCTTCTTGAAGGGAAGATTTCAATCAAGAGACAAAGTGCAACTCTAGCCAGTTTTACTCAGTGATTAGAGCATCGGCTGGCAAACTGACAGGTCCCAGGTTGAATTCTGGCCAAGGGCATGTATGTCAGCTGCAGGCTCGATCCTCAGCCCCGGCTAGGTCACATGTGGGAGGCAACCAAGCGATGTGTCTCTCTCACATCGATGTTTCTCTCTCTCCCCGTCCCTTCCACTCTCTCTAAAAAATCAATGGAAAAACTATTCTTGGGAGAGGATTAACACCACCAACAAAAAGACACAAAGTGCAGCAAAGCAAGCAAGAATTTATTGGCCACAGCAAAAACAGAATAATGAAACAAGAAAGGGCTTAGAAGAAGCAACAGGAGAGCCTAGGCTGGGCTGCTTTAGCTCACTGAGAAGTCAGAGAAAAGGGGGCCTTAGAGACAGGTTCAGGGGGTTAGCTTGGGATGAGCTGCTGCTGTCCTTGCTCCCTTGGTGAATGATGTGGGCATGCTGAGGGGGAGGCAGAGCTCGAGCTGGGTCCTTTGTGTTGAGGGTACTTATTTCTCTCTTGTAGGTGGGAATCTTGGAGGAGGTCTTAGGGGAGAGTCTCAATAGAATATTGATCTGTTTTCCAGGTGTGCTTTTTTAGGGTCATGGTCTCCACTGATTGGTCAGCACCAGGGCAGGGGGTCATTAGTCAATGCAGCTGGTCCTGAGGCAGCCAGGGCATTGCTTATCCAGTTTTGTTGCTTTTCTGGGCCTGGAACTGAAATACAACTGAAGCCTAGATGTTATCTTTAGGGAGAAAAAGGTCAGGGGGTATAAACCACATGACCAGTGATATGAAATTTCAGGGGTCTAAACTGCATGACCAGTGATATGCTAGGGGAGGAAATATTACCCTGGGGATGAGGTCCTTGTTTTCTCAGTCTTGCCTCTTGGTAGGGCTTTCTGATCTGGACCTTCTGTACCTGGCCCATCATACTTGCTCTGCTCATGTCTGTCTAACTGCTTATAACAATCCACCATAGTCCTGGTTCCCTCTCAGGGCCTCAGATTCATTCCCTCTAGCCAATGAAAAGATTTGGCATAGAAGTTGGGGATGACCTCTCTGAGGTACAGACAAGTCTACCAGGCAACCTCGCTAATGGCCAGTTCAGTGGTTTGGACCCTGAAGGCTGTGGCTCTCAGAGGGTAGGTTGGCCTGAGTGGACATGTCTCCCTCTGGGCCTATAAGCAGGAGCAAGATGCTTCCCACTAAGGTGGGTGAGTGGTAGAGGGTGATGAACTGTGGGAAGCACTCAGCACCCCATCATTGCTCTGCTGTGAAAAGGTGAATTTTCATCTTGGCCTGGTTTCCTCTCCTCCCTTTCCTCTCCTCCCCGCTTCCCCAGCCAGGAGCCTTCTGGGCTGCCTCCCCGCAGCCAGCTGGTGTATGCTCAGAAAATCCAAACTATTTCCATGTGAGTTCAGGGGGATATAGTTAAGAAGGCCTCTTTTATTATGTTGAGGCAGTTTCCTTCTATTGCTAGTTTGTTATCTTTTTTATCTTGAGAGAAAGTTGAATTTTTTCAATTCCTTTTCAATCTTGAGATGCTCATGTGTTTTTCCTTCATTTTGCTGATATGGTATATTATATTGATCAAGTTTTTTTGTTTGTTTGTTTTTTAAGATATCTTTATTGATTTCAGAGAGAGGAAGGGAGAGGGAGAGAGAGAGAGATAGAAACATCAATGATGAGAGAGTCATTGATCGGCTGTCTCCTGTATGCCCCTGACTGGGGATCGAGCCCGCAACCTGGGCATGTGCCCTGACCGGGAATCAAACCCCGATCGCCTGGATCCTAGGTCAACACTTAACTGCTGAGCCATGCCCAGCCAGGCTATTGATCAGTTTTTATATGTTGTACCATCCTTGCATTCCAGGAATAAATCTCACTTTTTTTTTTTTAATACATCTTTATTGATTTCAGAGAGAGGAAAGGAGAGGGAGAGAGAGAGATAGAAACATCAATGATGAGAGAGTAATTGATTGAGCCCACAACCCGGGCATGTGCCCTGACCAGGAATCGAACCCCGATCACCTGGATCCTAGGTTGATGCTCAACCATTGAGCCATGCCTGGCTGGGCTCACTTCTTCTTGTGTAATAGCTTTTTAATATGTTGCTGAATTCTCTTTGCTAATGGTATCGTTATAATGAACCCTGTTATTAATTAATAACAGGAAAGGAACAAAGGGAAGCTGCAATTTAGATGCATGCCCAGTAAAGTCTAAATGACATAGAGAGGGTGCTTACCTGTCAGTCATACCTGGGAGTGGGGTATTGGCCAAAATAGGCAAGGCCACTCAAGGGCATGAAATCTGAGATACATAAGCTCTTAAAGAAAGAGAGTTCTCACTCTTGGCCTTCTTTCTCTCTTGGGATTCTTGTTGCAGGGAGTGTGCTCTCATGCTCTGCACTTGCCCACATGACCCATAGGCATGTGGACCCCCACACATAATGGACTAATGGACCATGACTAACCTGATGCTATGCTGGACTCAGCTCCACC